GTCTGTGTACCCCCTAAAGTACACAATAGCATTTTCTTTTAAGGACAGTCTTGTCCTTAAAAGATTCTTTTGTGGTTCCTTATATTTCTGTTAAATGTGACTTAGTATACACTCAAGGGGGAGCCAAGGAGAAACCAGAAACGATAATATTTGAAACAGCACATCTTTTTGGAACGGAGAGGGAAGAAATTATTGTGAATTTGAAGTGGAATTTCAGATGTTTTCTTTTTCTTTCTTTCTTTCTTTTCTTTTCTTTTTTTTTTTTTTTTTTTTTTCCCAAGTCCAAAGGAACAGTTTGTCCTGAAGGACTATTAATTTCATGTTGACTTTTGCGTCTATTAACGATAAGCATTGTTTACTTTTTCATATTTTTGCCACCAAATATTATCGCCCTGTATTATTTGGGTCCACCAGCGGCCGAGCGGTAAAGTCGCTGAATACTGGTAGTTAGGTCCGAGGTTCGAATCCCGCGAACGGGCTCGCTGCATGGGCGTTTTCGTGGTTTTTCCTATGTGTAAAATGTATACGAGCCAGTTCCCTTAGAAAGTCCTCCACGAAGGCATCCCTCCCCTTAGGCAGATAGCCCTAGTGTGCTTTGCCGTAATTTAATAAATCAAACCAAACCCTGTATTATATTTAAAGAAATTAAATAATGAAGAATCTGCATGAATGTATGTATGTTTCTCGCATTGTGATAAAACAACGATACCCAAAGCCAGCAAAATTTGAATGACGTAATCTTCCATAGAATATGGGCATGTGAAAGCCCTAATCTGAATTTCAAATTTGTATCGATTTCATATTTTGTAACACTTCAACGAATTTTTGATAACAAACTCAACGATTTCAAAGCGAGCAATAGCAACACTGTATGGGAAAAAAAGCATTTTTATCTCCAGCGGACGAGACTCTGTACCGGAAATTCTAAAGATACGCTCATTTTAAAATAATTTTGCGATACTTCTGTTGAACTGAATTTTATGGTTTGAGTACGTACAACATGATATTTAATAAATAAAGGTAACGCACAAAACGTAAAAAAACGCCCCTTTGGACGTAATTTATAATCTGAAACCTTTCAGATTTTTTAGTCCAAAGGGATTTGAGTCTCGAAGGACTATTACTTTCGTTTCGGCATTTTGCGTCGGACTCCTATAAATGTCGGTTCATTTTTCAAACTGTTGCCACAAAATGTTAGAGTCCTGCATTATATTTGAAGAAATTAAATAATGAAAAATCTGCATAAATGTATGTATATTTCTCGCACTACGATAAAACAACGGTATCTAGAGCCATCCAATTTTGAATGACGTAATCCTACTGCGAATATGGGCATCTGAAATCCCAAATTTGAAATTTGGAATTTTTGTTATTATCGATTTCATATTTTGTAAAACTTCAACGAATTTTTTAGTAACAAACTCAACGATTTAAAAGCGAGCAATAGCAACACTCTACGGAGGAAGAAAACCTTTTTATCTCCAGCGCGTCGAACTGTGTATCGGAAATTGTAAAGATATGCTCATTTTAAAATTATTTTGCGACATTGCTATTGAACTAAATTTTTTGGTTTAAGTGCAAAGAACATGATATTTAATAAAAAAAAAGGTATCACACAAAACGTTAAAAAAACGCTCCTTTGGGCGTAATTTAAAATCTGAAACATTCCAGATTTTTTTTGTGGGGAGGGAAGAAACAGGTGAGCGATGGTATTCTAATTAAGGGTTAAACCTGGACAACTTGTATGCGCCGTCCACGATCTTTCACTCTTGGTTCCGTTTCAAGGCAGCGCTACCGCTGGCGTTTTCGTTGACACGGGCACCACCGTTGTATAAAACACGTGAGTCATAAAAGTCGGAGAACAGGGTAAATTTATTGTGTTTTTCCGTGTGACAGCACACACTTCTTTTATGTCACCACTTCTTTTATGTCTCCGAGTTTTCTCATTAAATTTGAAACATAAATATGTCACGTTTTTCAGAATGACAACAAAAGAGTTTTAAATCACTAAAGATTTCCTTAAAATTTGTTAAATTAACTCAAAATCTATATATAAAGAATACAGACTCCGTGGAGTGGTCTGAGGTCTGACAGTAAAATTCAGGGGCGTAGCTAGAGGGGGGCAAGGGGGGGCATTTGTCCCCGGCGCAGAATCGAAGGGGCGCCAAACTGATGTTACGACATTTTAGAATTAAATGTTTTCCATCCTTGGCAAGCAGTAGGGAGCGCGAAATCTTCAGTTGTCCCTGGGCGCTGAAAACCCTAGCTACGACTCTGGTGAAATTCCTCTTGCTTTGAAGGTCAAGTGTGCCAAATTTACCGGAGTAAAACTGTAGATTTGTATGAATGACAAACACACGGATATTCTTCTTTATATATATTAGCTACCTTAAGTATATTCTGCAATTATTTCATTAGAAATGTAAGCCACCTAGTGTCGTGCTACATTACTAAATTTCTCACGTACGGGAATGAAAACCCTTTGCTTTATGTTTTCTCTTTAAATTTCTTTTAAGCATTGTTTTAAAACATGTTAATATATAAAAAATGCAGTGAATACTTGATTATTCTCTACTCTCGGGTCCTAATTCTGCGCGGAACACTTAACGGCATTTCGCTGAGCTCCATCGTTCCACGGAACACAGTTTGGAAACTAGTATATAGAATCAGTTAACAATATTCTATAACAATGTTAGATTTACTGTATAGAAAACTGGGAGATAGTTTTAAAGAATTCTAATCATATTTCCTTAGTTTAATTTTCTATAAAAGTTAAATAGAATACTTTTGAATATTTTAAAAGCACTATAAATATCAACAAAATTTACTTTTGAAATTAAAAAGAATGAATAAAATTTTCATTTTTAATAGAATTATTTAACCTAAATTTTGAAATGATCTATAACATATAAGGAAGGGGAAACAGATGTCACAGAACAGATGTCATTTTTCCTCTCTAAAAAAATTTGAATACAGCTTAAAATTTAAAAAATATTTAACAAAAATCAATACTTTAAAAATAACGGTTAGGTTTAATTTAAATTAAGAAACCACTTTTCTGATGAGGGTACATATTCATTAATTAAGAGCATTAATTTCGGAAATTCAAATTATATAATTAACATAATAAATTTACTTTTTTAACTAATTTTAAGGACTAATATTAATTTTACGTTTTTACAAGATCTAATGCTTGTATTATGTTAGCAGTACTGCGCAACAAATTGCACAGAATTGGAGGGAAAAAGGCAAAAATTTCTATTCAAAATTGATTCAGCATTTATGAATAAAAGACATTTATTTTTACTCTTCTGTACGTCAGAAACTGAAAATTTGCTTTGATTTAGTTTGAAAATTTAGAATTTTCTACGGAATACCATTTTATAAAGGCTTTTTTAAATTTCTGTAAAATTTTGCAAAGCAAAATATCTATAGAGTTCTGTTCTCTGAAACCTAATTTCTGCAGAATTTTATAGAGAAGCATTTCTATAAAGGATTACTTTTAAAGTTTTATAAATCTCTATCAGACTCTATAAAAAATTTTCGCAAGGGATGCCTCATATTCTTCTTTTAAGTATTGTAGCAGATATATCAGAAACATTAAAATAATAATTTTCAACTGAATTCTGAAACGGTCAGAACATCTTCAGTACCTAATGTTCGAATTTTAATATTTAGACTAATTTTATTTTATTATACAGATAGAAAAATTTTACTGTCAACAGAACTGAATTTTTTCTTTTTTTTTTTTTAAATTTTATTCTCACGGTACGCATACATAATAAAGAAATTTAATCAATAAAGTTTCACTGGAGCTTTTATTTTAGGCTATGCAAATTGTTTAACTATTGAAAGTTTATTTTACTCCATGTTTCGAAACACTAGTAAGATAATTTGCATAGCTACAGCTATTCGAACGCGCTGAGGTTGCAAGCAAAAGCTCGTACTCAGTACTGCCATCTATCTGCAAGAAATAGCCTTAAAACAAAATTTCAAGCTGCTATATGCAAAATTAAATGGGTAAATTTCGATGTTAAATTATCCTGAATTTCTTTTCGACAAAGGATTTCGTTTAAAATTTTGATGGATTAATGTTATCATCTGAGATCTGAGTTTCTACAATTGTTGCACTTGTCAAAATAATATATTTTTAAAATTATTTTTCGTGCTATTATTTTAAATATTCGTAAACTTTGCTTTTTGAAGTAAAAATCGAACGTCTGCAAGTTACCCTCTGTTTCAGAGAAATGTGATAGCAACAGATTATGATGTTAAAAGTTTTATTTTCTCTCCAACCCACCCTCCCTTTTTTTTACACCCCACAGGAAGTATATTGTGTCAGTTAATATGACAATTCGCTTTAAAGCAACATAAAAACGATCATAGTTGTATGGCTGTTGGTAATGGATGCCATTTTTGATTGCACGTTGAATGTTAATAAAATCTGACTCGGTAATATTAACATTTACATTTAATTCTAGGATGATATATATTTTAACATATATTCACTTATACACAATCACATTGCATGTAGTTACAAGATGAGCATTTTTCAGTTCGCAAGTCCGCATGAGTAAAAATCAAGAAAGTCATATTACAGCTACGATAACATCACGGAGGGAAAGAGAGGTGAGTGCGTGCTTCACCGACGGTAGCCAGGACAGTGGCGTAGCGACGGAGGGACAAGGGGGTGTATGATGCCCCGGGCGCCGCTCGCAGAGGGGCACCAAATGGTCTCCAAACAAGATTTTCATCATATCACTGTGTTTTTTTTTTCGGGAGAAGGGGGGGCGCCAAAAAGGTATTTTGCCCCGGGCGCCAGTTTTGCTCGCTACGCCACTGAGCCAGGAACCGAGTAACCAGTTCGAATTTTCCTCCAGAGAGGAAGAGGGAGAAAGCTGGTAGCGCCCTCTCTCGGGGCAGCGGACAAATAATAATAATAAAGAGTTCTCCACAGTATTCCCCCCCCGAGTACCAAAGGTACGATGAAAAAAATCAGTTCACAAATATCTGGTGTTGAAGCGCACACGTCTTCCTGATCGTGTGACGACTGGTGGAGCATTGGGAGGAAGCGTAAGGTCGGTCGAAGGAGGAGTATCCGGAGTAGCAGTTGGATGAGCAGGAATGAAACAACGGGAGTCAGGAGGATCGCTGGTGACAAGAACCTGAGTGTTTGAAGCTTCGAAGAAAGCAGGCTTCAGACGATCTATGCTCAGAACGGTTTCCTTGTCGCGCACGAGAACGGTGAAATGCTTATTGTTACGTGCACAGACCTTGAAGGTTCCATCGTATGGAGGAGTGAGTGGTGGTTTGACCGCATCGTTTCGCACAAACACGTGAGTGCAAGTGTTCAGTGCGTTGTGCACGAAAGGGGCAGATTTGTTGTGGCACGAAGTAGAAGTCGGAGACAGCTTCTTCTCTCGGAAAGTCTGGACAAAAGATGCTGGATCGACTGGAGCAGAGGATGGCTGAAAGAATTCAGATGGTAATTGAAGGGGTGTGCCGTAGACAAGTTCAGCGGATGTACCTGCGAGGTCTTGCTTGAAATAAGAACGCAAACCAAGAAGCACAAGAGGAAGTGAAGTAGTCCAACGGGTGTCATTACGGCACTTCAGGGCTGCTTTCAGGTCGCGATGTAAGCGTTCCACTAAACCGTTGGCGGAAGGATGGTATGGTGAAGTGCGAATTCGGCGTATTCCAAGCATAGATGTCAGAGAAGCGAAAAGGTGTGACTGGAATTGTCTACCTTGATCAGTAGTCACAACTTATGGTACACCAAATCGTGCAATCCAACCGGTGATGAATTGTCGAGCCACAGATTCAGCAGAGATGTCCTGAATGGGAAAAGCTTCAGGCCAACGAGTAAATCTGTCAATGCAGGTGAGTAGATATCGATAACCGTCAGATAGTGGCAGAGGACCGACGATGTCTATATGGACATGGTCGAATCGTTCGGATGGCATCGCAATTGTTTATACGCACTAATGTACACTATTCGAATCACGAATGTCGCTGCTACGCATCTAACTATCTAACAACGTATCTAAATGCCACATCTAAATTTCTGCAAGCGGTGGTTCAGCTATAATTCTATGATCAAACACTCAATCTAGTTTTACAAGGATTTATTAAAATATTAAAATTAATCTAATCTAGAATCGAATCTAATGTTACATCTCAGGAGCATCGTTTTAGCTGCGTCATAACAAATCTAAAGTCAAGTTCTCACTGTTGCCATTCTGAGGCATAGAAAAGTTTGTTTCTAATCAAACCGGAACTCCGGCATAGTGAAAGTTTCTAGTCAAACCGGAACATCCCGGCCCCCGTTGGACAATTGTCCAACATCATTTGGAAATGGGAGTGGGCTGATATTAGAGACGGCTCGACGAAAGATTCCATCTGAAGTTCTGACGTCTACGACTCGTACTAGTCCATCTGGACCAGGAAAGGTATTCTCGATGCGAGCTAGTGTCCACTTCATGGGTGTCTTGTTTTTATCCTTTAACAAGACTAGTTGTCCTGCCTTGAGATTGGATCTCACTTGATTCCATTTTGAGCGGTTCTGCAAATGATTAAGATATTCCACGCTCCAACGGTTCCAGAAATTACCTCTAAGTTTTTGAATTAAGGTCCATCTAGAAGACAAGGTCAAAAAATCTACAGAATCATTCGGTTCTGGTATCGACAAAAGTGGAGCTCCTATTAGGAAATGACCTGGAGTCAAAAAATCTGTTGTATCAGCCGAAATAGGTGATAGAGGTCGAGAGTTCAAGCAGGCTTCTATTTGTGTAATTAATGTATACAGCTCTTCAAAGTTTAAAATTGTCGTTTTCGCGACCTTTGTCAAAATTCTCTTCATTGATTTTATATTAACCTCCCATAATCCGCCAAAATGCGGGAAAGAAGGAGGAATGAATCTCCATGTTATACCTTCTTCGGAACTAAAGCGCTGAATAGGATCCGATCTACAAATTCTAAAGAGTTTTTGTCAAGAACATTCTTCGTTCCCTTGAAGTTCGTAGCGTTATCACTCCAAACAATGGATGGTTTAGATCGTCTGGCAATAAACCTTCTAAGGCATGCTAGAAAGGCTTTCAGTAGACAAATCCGATACTACTTCTAGATGAATAGCCTTTGTACTAAAGCAAATAAATATATCGCGATGTATGATTTAAACGTAACTCTAGATCTTTTCAAATTAGGCTTGGTGATAACTGGACCTGCAAAGTCAAGTCCTATTTTTTCGAATGGTCTAGTTATTACTACTCTATCTCTAGGTAAGTCTCCCATCATTTGGTTTATGGTTTGGTTCCTTGTTCGAAAGCACGTCATGCATTTACTTATAACGCGTCTAACTCTATCTTCTCCGGAAGGTATCCAGTATAATTGTCTAATAAGAGAAACTGTTGTTTGAACGCCCGAATGAAGAGATTTTTTGTGATAATAATCTATGAGTAATTCAGTGAAATGATGTCCTTTGGGTAAAAGAAGTTGATGTTTCTGGTCTTCTGAAAGATTGGAGTAACGTAGTCTCTCACCAACTCGTAAAAGTTCATCTTCATCAAGAAATACATTTAAGGATAAAACCTTACTATTACTTGGAACTGATCGTTTCGACTGCAGGCACTTAATTTCAGGTTCAAATTCAGAATGTTGTACACATTTTAACTAGCACCTTTGTTGCATTCTTTAGTTCAGAAGCACTCAAAAAACTTTCTTTTCTTAATGGTGGATTGGTTCTACAGTTGTTCGCAAACATTAAACACCACGCAGTAGTTCTAATCAATTTGCTGAATGACGAATACCTTTTAATGAATTCGTTCTCAATGGAATTTTCACCTGTGACTGTTGAGTTCACTACAGCTCCCCTTCGAAGTTCAAGCTCTTCATTACCTTTGAAATCTCTTACTGATTCTGGAAGTTTTGGCCACGAATCGATACTCTGTAATAGCCACTTAGGTCCATGCCACCACATGTCACTATTTCGTAGTTCAGACAACGTTATTCCTTTCGTGGAATTTGTCTTTGTTCCTCTGGTCAGCATATCAGCCGGATTTTCATCTCCAAGGCAATAATTCCAGGACTCAGGTGATGTTTTCTCTCGTATTTCCATTACTCGATGTTGGATGAATGGCTTCCATTTATTTAAATCGCCCTTTATCCAATGTAACGTAACAGAAGAGTCTGACCAAAAATATACATTCATCTGGAGTCTTTTCTCTAACTGTTCTTTGACATTCGAGGCTAATCTTGCTCCGATGAGCGCCCCATCAGCTCTAATCTTGGAAGGGACAGCTTCTTCAGTGGAGCTACTCTGGTTTTGGAAATGACAAAAATACTTCCTATTTCACTGTCCGTCGTGACGTATCGCAGGTATATCACAGCTCCATATGCCTTCTTCGACTTGCGTCGGTAAAGCAATGCATTTGAATATCTCTCAATTCAGACTTGTTAGTCTTTCGGAAGTAATGTCGCGGAATGTTTACATCCTGAATCGCTGATGACAGTTCATTAATCCATTTTTTCATTCTGTTTTCAAAGTCCAATGGTAACGGATCATCCCAATCTACTCCAAGTTGCCAAATTTCCTGCATTAGTATTTTTGCCCTAATAGTGAATGGACTTATAAATCCAATGGGATCGTAAAGCTTTCCAATGGTTTTAAGAACTTCTCTTTTTGTCATTAGACTTTGTTTCCCTTGAACCTTAGTTAGATTTTGTGATTCTATCTTCAGAAGGTCTTCCTTGTAATTCCATTTATATCCCAATACCTTCTGTTCCAGAACTTTCTGAATTTCACCATTTTCGTATTCGTCAAAAACTTCCTGCAGATTCCCACAATTTGTTTTCCATTTTCGCATGTTGAAACCAGCAGCCTTCAATATATATGTAGTATCTTCATATATGAGTTTAGCTTCATTTTCGTCTTCATCCCCACCTATTAAATCGTCTACGTATAAAAATTCGTTCAATAGTTTAACTGCTTTCTGATTTGTTTTCTTTAAAGGTATTTATCTATGATGGTTTTGATAGTAGCGGCAAGCAAAAATTGGACTGGATGTAGCTCCAAACAAAACGCGAGTCCATCCTAAGTATTTTCGTGTTAGGTTTCCCATCCTTATCTCATTTTATTATCAAGGTTATTGCCCACAAAAATCTTTACAGCATCCCTATCTTCAGGTGACAGAGAAATCTGGAGAAAGGCTTGTTCAATGTCGGCAGTAAATTCTATACTATGTGTACGAAATTGTATTAATATCTCTAACAATGGTGGATTTAAATTAGGACCGGAATAGAGACAATCGTTTAAAGAGTATTCGTTTTTCGAATGGCTGGATGCCTCAAATACAACTCTCACGGGTTTGTCAGGTCGGATAACTGGCTGGCGAGGCACGTAGTAAATTCTTCCTGTTTCTTCAGAACTTGGATCAATTTCCTCAGCTATACCCCTTTTTAAATGTTGTTCTATAACTGAGTGATACTGCTGATGTAGCAGTGGATCATTTCTCAACCTTTTAACCAGTTTATTAAAGCGAACTTCTGCATTTACGTAATTCGTTTTTAATTCAGACGAATTTTCATTCCAAGGGAGTTTAACCTCATATCACGTTTCTTTAAATTTGATAGTTCTGTTAAAATTCTCTAAAACGTCATTATCTATTTTACTAATTTCCTTCCCTTGTTCAATTCCCCATGTTTATAATTCCCAAAACTGCTTTAACTGTGTTGAGACCAATTTATCGTCAACAATAATGTCCATGTTTAACAATTTACCGTTAGAATCAGTCCGGCCTTGAAGACACCATCAAAATATTGTTTCGGAAGCTACAAGTTTATTTTTAAAACGTTTAAGTCTACTAGTTATTACTTCATGATAGTAATCTGCTCCGATCAAAACAGCAATATTTTTGTCACTGAATTCACAAGAATCAGCTAATTGTAGTCCTATTATCTCTTTGTTAATTTTGGAAACTGGGATATATCAGGGAAAGCTAAATTAGTTGCACATATTTGGTTAGTTTCTAAAGCTTTAATTTCTATATTTAGGGATGGTTTACTTCTGTTTTCTAGTTTAACTTTCACAACATTGTAAGTTTGTTCTGTTGCCTGGTTAACCCCAAAGGCAAATACGGACAAAGTCTCCTTTCGAATAACAGGTAATTTACACTTCTCTGAAATGTCTCGAATTATAAAACTTCTCATCGATCCATTGTCTAATAGAATACGAACTGGTTCTAAATTATCCTTCTCAAAAAATGGACGTATTATCACAGTACACGTTTGTAGCAATGCACTGCGGAAAGTTTCGGTTTTTAATTGACTAATCTGAACATCTTCTTTACTGGATGGAATAGTCGACACGACCTCGTTTTTCTCCGATTTGGTTCCGAGTTGGAAACAAATAGACCTATTGTGGTTTTTATTACATATTTCGCACATTTTTTTTCCTTACACTGCTTAATTTTATGCTGAGATTTTAAACACAAAAAACATCGAGCTTGAGATTTTAAAATATTTCTTTTCTCCTCCACGGTTTTAATTTCGCAGCGCTCCGAATCGTGTAGTTCGTCACAATATATGCATTTACTGCTAGCGACTGGAGCAACATATTCATACGTTTTAGGCGAACTTCTTTCAACCTGTTTACTGCGCTTGTTGTTTACATTATCGTGAGCGGAGTGGAGAGGATCGTTTGATTTATGCC